GTCTTTATGAATCACTGCCATTTCATTTTTTATGGAGCATTCCACTATCACTAATGCCATTCTACTATCCCAAATGCCATCTCATTTTTTAGTAGGCATTTGAGATAGTGTTCCCTGTTGGTCCGCCATGTTTTGTTTTACCATACTTTCATTGTATATGGATTCATTCGGCAGATTTCCCTCCCGGGTTCCAAACGACAGTCTAGGTTGTTCCCCATCTGACTTTCTATTTCCTTTTGATTCTCAGGTCCTTGTATCTCAGGGCTTTTTTCATGTATTGGAATATATTTCTTAATTTAGTCATATTTGCGTTCAACTGAGGGGTCTTTACCCCTCCTCCCTTGTTAGTTCTGCTCCTCATGTTAATTGAATTTGTCTGCGTGTGCTGTATTCACCACTCAAATATGAAGAAGAAAAAGAGATATCACTCCTGTATAAGACCCCTCCTCCTAGTTGGTCATTATCATATATACAGTTCTGGATAAGTTTGTGCAGATATGTGATATTATCACCTTCCTTTAAGTGTACTTTCCTTGCCCTTTTGGGACCACCCAGTGCCTTCTTCCTCTATCCGCCCAAACCCTTCTCATGGATATTAAATCTGTAAAAAGTGATAAAGCAATATTAATATATATATTTAGCCATTATCCACGGCTACTTACCATGCCCAACCAAACACAGCCCTCTGGTTCCCTGTGAGGTGGCCTGGGCAGGAGGTCATTCAGTTCAACAAGTCCTGGAATCCTGTATTGGCAGGTATCTCTGGGTTACAACTCGTGATATGAAAGTCCACCTGTAGTCCCTTCAGGATCCCTCCAGGATTTATCTTCTATTAGGGTTCTAACGCTGATCCCTCCAGGAGCTCCAGGGATCAAGGTGTTGGGCTGTACTGTGCTGTGCTGTACTGTGCAGAGCTACTCCTCCAGGGATCTTGTCCACACAGGCACTCTCTGACTATCCTTAACCTGGAGAGTTCAACAGCTTCTCTCCCATGCAGATATCCCCGGCATCCTGCCTCCTTTGCTGCTGGCAGGTGTCCCTGTTGTCCACGTGGGTACCTGTCAGCATCTGCCCTTCCTCCTTCCGACTGCGGCTTCACCATAGGGAAGAGAGCCAGTCCTCACCTCCCCTCTCCGCTCCCACACCCGACGCCAGGTAAGAGGGCAGTGCAGATGGGATGACAGTAGGATGTCAGAGGGACGTCAGCACAGTGTCCACCTATCAGTCTGGCACCATCTCTTCTGCCACCGTCCGGAGCTCCTTCTGCCTCACGAGTTCACGGTGCCATATTCAGTCACCTCCCCCCCACATGCACAGAAATAGAAGTGTTTATTGTTTTTTTTTTTTTCAATTAACAAAATAGAAAGTAAATGAACAGAAGAGAAATCCAAATCAAATCAATATTTGATTTGACTACCCTTAGCCTTCAAAACTGCTTCAGTTCTTCCAGGTATAATTTTCACAAAGTCTGGCAGGTAGGTTGTTCCAAACATCTTGGAGAACTAATCATGAATCTTCTGTGAATGTAGGGTGCCTCAAATTCTTCTGTCTTTTCATGTATTTTCCAGAAAGAATTGAAGATGTTGAGATCAGGCCTTTGTGGGGGCCAAACCTTCAATTCCAGGACTGCTTGTTTTCTTTACACTGAAGATAGTTCTTAATGACATAGGCCACATGTTTGGGATCATTTTCCTGCTGCAGAATATATTTTTGGCCAATCACACGCCTCCCTGATGGTATGGCTTGATGGATGTGTATCTGCCAGTATTTCTCAGCATTGAGGACACCAATGATCCTGACCAAATCTCCAACTCCATTTGCAGAAGTGTAGCCTCAAACTTTCAAGGAACCTCTACCATGCTTCACTGTTGCCTGTGGACACTTATTATTGTACCGCTCTCCGAGCCCTTCACAAACATACTGCTTCCTGCTACAGCCAATTATTTTACATTTTGACTCATCATTTCAGAGCACCTGCTGTTCTTTTTCTGCACCTCAGTTCCTATGTTTTCATGTCTAGGATGGGGAAAAATCAAGGATAAGCGACTCGGCTATGCAGGAAAACATAGGAACTGGGGATAGTGGACTTTTAAATTCGAGATTTGTGCATTAATGATTTATGCATCTTTATGAGCTGCACTACACTTTGTGATAACCTATTTGATTTAAGTTATAGGGGGTGTTGTGGAATCACCTCAGCAGTGCTTAGTGGGCAAATTCATTTTTTGGTTGTGTTTTTGTTGTGTTGAATTTGAATATTTGTATTTTGCCATATTCACATGCTTTAATGTAATATACCAGAGTGGACAAGTCTGAATGGGCCCTAATACTCATACATCTCCGCTCGTCTGATGTCTTCACTGTGCGGACTGCTTGGTACTATATAGCTTTGTCTTCAAATCTTCACAGTTGGGTCAAGCTCCTCCAACACAGGTGCAGTCAGGTGCTTGGCTAGAGATAGAAAGCGACTTAGGACACTGTGCTGCAGTGCTTTCTGTGTTTTATAATGGACTGCAGCTGAATGGATTAACACTACCTCCCCTCCATTCACAAGGGGGGAACTCAAGAGACTTGAAGGTTGGCAGCACTGAATTATGGGAGAAGAAGTTTGGGGAAAGAAATTTACTATGGCAGTTGATAGATGATTGGACTACAATTCCCAATGTGAGCTGGGTATAAAAACAGAGAGAGAGAGCTGCATTATCACATGCTGAATACCAAAAAAAATTATCTTTGCTTCAAGGAGACTGAGGTGTGCAAATAGCTGCTCTTGTATGCACATCAACCTGCCACAAGCCTGTGGCCTTGTGCTAAGGCCCAAAGTTACTCCAGGCAGCTCCAGAAATGAGCTGACCTATGAACTGCAGGACCCCTGTTGCTGTATCGCTGGGACTGGTGAGAGGACACTGCTATTACCTGTTGCTGCTAGCAGAGACTGAGCTCATAGGGACTTACTTAACCAACTAGCTAGAAGCAGTATTTACTACATACAGACTTTACTGGGATGGTACTCATGTGCACCATTGTAAATAATGGGCCCCAATGCTAGCCAGCTGCAGAACTAGGGCTAAAGACTACTCACTCAGATAACTGCTTCACAAGAAGTTTGTCTATTGTCCATAGTAAGAGGTACCTCTTATAGGAGTTGTAAATTTTAATGCTCCCATTCATATAGAGTGCTCGCTAAAGTGGATATAGCCTATTGTTAACAGATGCGTTATCACTAGAGATGAGCGAATCGAACTTGGCGAAGTGGAATTCGTTTCGAATATTAGGAAAAATTCGATTCGCGCCGAATCCGAAAATTAGCATACTTCGGATGCACGAATCGAATTTTTCCCCGATCGGCCGATTTTCATCCCTTCTACAGCCGGCAAAAAGTGTCCCTGCAGAGAGCTCCGCTATTTCTGACAGTTCTCTGACAGTTCCTTCACATTTACAGCGGTTGAAACATTGTATCTATTTGTTTCCATTTAGGATACAGATGTTTTTATTCGGAAACAAATAGATACAATGTTTCAACCGCTGTAAATGTGAAGGAACTGTCAGAGAACTGTCAGAAATAGCGGAGCTCTCTGCAGATACACTTTTTTGCTGTACTGGAATTCTTCTTATTTTCAAACCTACTTCTTTCTTCTTCTTCTTCCTCCCTCATCCTCATCCTCTTCTTCTTCTTCTTCATCCTCGTCCTCTTCTTCTTCTTCTTCCTTCTTCATGACCTTCTTCCTCTTCTTCTTCTTCTTCTTCCTTCATGCCTCATCTATCCTCTTCTTCATCCTCTGCCACTCTCTTCTTCTTCATCCTCATATCCTCTTCTTCTTCATCCTCATTCCTTCTATTTCTTCATCTCTCATCCTCTTCTTCTTCTTCTTCATCATCCTCATCCTCCTCTTCTTCTTCTTCTCTTCCCCCTCCCATCATCCTCTCCTTCTTCTTCTCACCTCATCCTCTTACCTTCTTCTTCTTCTTCTTCATCCTCATCCTCCTCTCTCTTCTTCTTCTTCATCATCCTCATCCTCTTCTCTTCTTCATCCTCATCCTCTTCTTCATCCTCTTTTTCTTCTTCTCTTCTCTTCATCCTCATCCTCTTCTTCTTCTTCTTCTTCTTCTTCTTCTTCTTGTCCTCATCCTCATCCTCTTCTTCTTCTTCTTCTTCATCCTCATCCTCTTCTTCTTCTTCTCATCCTCATCTTCTTCTTCTTCATCCTCATCCTCTTCTTCTTCTTCTTCATCCTCATCCTCTTCTTCTTCTTCTTCTTCTTCTTCTTCATCCTCATCCTTCTTCTTCTTCTTCTTCTTCATCCACCTCATCCTCTTCTTCTTCTTCATCCTTATCTTCTTCTTCTTCATCCTCATCCTCATCCTCTTCTTCTTCTTCTTCATCCATACACATCTTCTTCTTACTTCATCCTCAATCCTCTTCTTCATCCTCAATCCTCTTCTTCATCCCTCATCCTCTTCTTCTTCTTCTTCCTCATCCTCCTTCCCCCTTCTTCCTCTTCTTCATCCTCATCCTCTTCTTCTCTTCCTCACTTCTCGTCCTCTTCTTCTCATCCTCATCCTCTTCTTCTTCTTCTTCTTCTTCTTCTTCTTCCCTCATCCTTCTTCTTCATCCTCATCCTCTTCCTTCTTCTTCTTCTTCTACTTCTTCATCCTCATCCTCTTCTCTCTTCTTCTTCTTCTTCTTCATCCTCTTCCTCATCCTCTTCTTCTTCTTCTTCTTCTTCTTCCCTTACCTTCTTCATCCTCTATCCTCATTCTTCTTCTTCTTACTTCTTCTTCTTCTTCTCCTCATCCTCATCTCTCATCCTCTTCTTCTTCTTCTTCATCCTCATCTTCTTCTTCTTCATCCTCATCCTCACTTCTTCTTCTTCTTCATCCCTCTTCTTCTTCCTCATCCTCATCCTCTTCTTCTTCTCATCCTCTTCTCTTCTTCTTCTTCCATCCTATCTTCATCTTCGGCTTCATCCTCATCCTCTTCTTCTTCTTCTTCTTCTTCTTCATCCCTCATCCTCTTCTTCTTCAATTGAAGCTGCTTCTGCTCCGCCACTCTGCCATTGGACTCTTGATAGTCGTCTCCCCACACTGCTGCTGGGGGGACTTTTTAACATAGGCCTCTTTATGGCCTTCAAATTTAGCTGCTTACGCCGTCTTCAGCCCACTCTGGCCATGGGCCCCTGTACCGCGGCCTCCTCATGCTGCTTGCCAAAGGCCCGTAATCTGCCATGGGCCCCCGTACCGACTCCTCATGCTGCTGCCAGGGCCCGTAATCTGCCATGGGCCCCTGTACCGCCTCCTGCATGCTGCTGCCAGGTCCAGAGTGTGTCATGGGTCCCTGTACGGCCTCCCATTGCTGCTGTCTCCATCGCCACACTCTGCCATGTGCCACTTTCAGGTCTCCTCACACTGCTGGTGGGTTCCATTTTGTCATAAGGAGCTGTATGGCCTTACCATTGCTGCTCGCCTTGGGGCCCAATCCACCGCCACACCTGTGGCTCCACACTCTGGTTTTGGGCCCCGTGACTGCCCAAATGAGTGAAGTGTGCGGTGCATTTCTAAAAGATCGACGGCACTCCATCTGCAATGTCATACTGACTGACAGTATTAGTTCTCTTCCCCAGCAAGCAGACTCCAAGGGCATTTAAATTAAAGGATACAGTGGGTTCTGCACAAATATAAGGCTCTCTTGAAGCCTAGAAACACCCTTTTTTATAAGTTAAATTCGCAGCGAATATATTCGCATCGAATCGAATTTATTCCGCAAATTCGCGAATCAGCCGAATCGAATTTTTGAATAATTCGCTCATCCTCTAGTTATCACAGTATTGATTACACTGTTCAACAGGTAAAAAGTTTTGGGCATAAAATTAGACTAATCTTACATAATTTTTGGGTGCTGAAACACAGAAAATGACCCTAAAAAATGTTGATTGGCTCTAGTTTCCAATGATATTATTCACCCATCTAATGACGTAAGCCATTCAAATAATTATGATGCAACGCTTCAGCTGCATATTGCGCAATTGATACACGGTGACCAATAGAAAATTGCATGTATACTGAGATGATGCAATATTAGCCTTTAAAATTGCAATCACTTCACTGCATAAAAGCTGCCAGTATCTGATATTTGATTGTAGTTCGACAGCGTCCTTTACATTTCGTTTTAAAAAGCTTATATAGGGCTACTCATTAATGGCCTCGAACTTTGTGTGAATAAAGCAGAGATAATTTCTGACTATATCTGCGGTAAAATAATCTTTTATCTCACAAAAAAAGGAGGATAACAGGAATGATAAGAAAGCCTACAACTTGTATTTTGGCTGCAAGATAGGAGGACCAGGACAAGAGCTGGCACCACCTATATATGCTTGTCAATTCTTTGTGGGACGCACTGGAGCAATGGTTTGAATGGAAAAAAAGGCCTCTATTCCTTTCGCACCAATGATTTGGAGAGAGCCAACAGATCATGTTTTAGTAATTGTTATGTATGGATAAAAGCTCTATGCCAACAGATCAACAAAAGGGCTAAATAAGAAGAAAAAGTTATCTGTGCACTATCCAAATATTTCCATCGGCAATATACGTCCTCCAGTTCTCATGGAAGAGGGCTACCAATTCCTAAAGCACCAGAATGTCCTTTGTGGTTGAGTCAAGTGAGGAAGAAACCTGAAGCGTGAGTCACTTTTTTTTTTTTTCGACGGTGCCGTTGTAGGAGATAGCCCTTTCCTCGAATACAAGAGAAAAGCCAAGAGAACAAACCGACACAAACTGAAGACAAAACTAGTGAGAATCCTAAGTATTAAAATTGATTCAACTTAGCTTTATGGCTATAATTTTTTCTTGGTAATCCTATTGCAATATATATTATGCCATATAGGCTTTGTTATGTAGTCAATGTCACTTGCTTTATATTTGTGGAAAGAACATCTATCTATATAATTATTGTGCATTATGTAGTCATTACGCCTATAGTAGCAAAACTTTCCCGTTTACAGAAAAAACTAGAGCGCAAATTGAACAAATTTCCATTGTTATATTTGAACTCAGAATGTGAAATTTTCATTAAGAAATGGATTCTTTTGTTTTCCAAAACTGGCAAAAAATAAAGTATTTGTTGAACAGTGTTATCAATTGCTATAAATGTTTTTTAATGCCATTGACTTAGTTATCTGGTTTTGTGGAATAAACCAGGGTGTATTCTAATTTATCTGAACAGAGCTCCATTCTATGCTGCTATTAGCCTAGTGAACACACAGTATTTGTCACAACAGACCCAACTGGACAGGAGCTTTTGGAGAGGACTACGGGCTAGCCTTCTACCCACTGATTATGGGCCCATGGAGGAGACCAGGGATTTTTTTTGCTTCTCCATTCGGAGTTGGTCTTAAAACCGTTTGACAGGCCGGGTGTATCTACCCGGATTATGCGGCCAAGAACTCACCCAGAACAATGGTGCATCTGCCTTCACCACCAAGATATGGAAACTCTCTTGGGCATATTTCTTATCTTGCTCCGGCTGGTCCTTAGAGAGCTGCATAATGCAGCATTTGCCCATTTTGCCTTGGCTAACTACCAGCTTTATGTTATTATTGACTTTTTATATTATTTCTGCCAAAATTTAGAAACGAGTGGTGTATGTAGTGAACAGCCATAGCCATAAGTTTTGAGAGTGACACAAATATTAATTTTCCACAAAGTCTGCTGCCTCAGTTTTACAATCGCTTTTGCAATATACTACAGAATGTTATGAAAAATGATCAGATGAATACAATTAATTGCTAAGTTCCTCTTTACCATGTAAATTAACTTAATCCCCCAAAAAGCATTTCCACTGCATTTCAGCCCTGCCACAAAAGGACCAGCTGACATCATGTCAGTGATTCTCTCATTAACACACAGGTGTCAGTGTTGACAAGGACAAGGCTGGAGATCACTCTGTCATGCTGATTGAGTTAGAATAAGCTTTTAAAAGGAGGGTGGTTGCTTGAAATCATTGTTCTTTCTCTGTTAATAATGATTACCTTCAAGGAAACACATGCAGTCATCATTGCTTTGCAGAGAAGGGGATTCACAGGCAAGGGTATTGCTGCTACTAAGATTGGAACTTCAAGGAGAGAGGTTCAGTTGATGTGAAGAAGGTTTCAGGGTGCCAAAGAAAGTCCAGCGAGTGCCAGGACTATCTCCTAAAGTTGATTCAGCTGCTGGATCAGGGCGCCACCAATGTAGAGCTTGCTCAGGAATGGCAGCAGGCAGGTGTGAGTGCATCTGCACGCACAGTGTGGCAAAGACTTTTGGAAGATGGCCTCATGTTAAAAAGGGCAGCAAAGAAGTAATTTCTCTCCAGGAAAAACATAAGTGACAGACTGATATTATGCAAAAGGTACAGGGATTGGACTGCTGAGGACTGTGGTAAAATCATTTTCTCTGAAGAATCCCCTTTCTGATTGTTTGGGGCATCTGGAAAAAACCTTATCTGGAGAAGAAAAGCTGAGCGCTACCATCAGTCCTGTGTCATGCCAACAGTAAAACATCCTGAGACCATTCATGTGTGGGGTTGCTTCTCAGAAAAGGGAGTGGGCTCATTTACAATTTTTCCTAAGAACACAGTCATGAATAAAAAAATGGTCCAAAAACATTCTCCAAGAGCAACTTCTCCCAACCATCCAAGAACAGTTTGGTGATGAACAATGCTTTTTCCAGCATGATGAAGCACCTTGCCATAAGGCAAAAGTGATAACTAAGTGGCTTGGGGAACAAAGCATCGAAATGTTGGGTCCATGGCCAGGAAACTCCCCAGACTTTAAGTCTATTGAGAACTTGTGATCAATCCTCAAGAGGCAGGTGAACAAAAAAAAAAAAAAAAAACTCCACAAATTCTGACAAACTCCAAGCATTGATTATGCAAGAATGGGCTGCCATCAGTCAGAATGTGGCCCAGAAATTGATTGACAACATGCCAAGGCAAATTTCAGAGGTCTTGAAAAAAAAGAGTCAACACTGAAAATATTGACTCTTTGCACAAACTTAATTTGTCAATAAAAGCCTTTGACACCCATGAAATGCTTGTAATTATACTTCAGTATACTATAATAACATCTGCCAAAAATATCTACAAACACTGAAGTAGCAGATTTTGTGAAAATTAATATTAGTGTCATTCTCAGAACTTTTGGCCATGGCTATACTTTATGTATCCGGGGCTGTGGAACTGTTTCTGGGCATCCTGCTGGGCATGCCCTGTCTAATCAAGACTTATTCTGGATGTTTTCCAGCACATAGACAAGGGAGGCAGAATGGGGAATTTCTGTGATTACTAGTCATGCTGATAAGACTTGTCTAGGTGCATAGCTGTTAATTAGATTAATGTTTAAAGGCATTATCATGTTTTTACTGGCTGTATGTCTTATCTATGCTAATGTTCCCAAGGGGGGAATATCATCCTGGGGGTATAAAGTATGTGTCTAAGTTTTAATAAACAGTTATTCTTTTGGCTTTACCCCATTTTGTCTTTGTATGATGCGTGGGTTAAAGGGCTGGTTTTAGCTATTGGTCTGCTGGAAGGGTTTGGAGGGCAGAAGGCACTGTTTGCCGGAGGCACGCAGTTGGGGTTCTAGGCGATCCATAACAGTATTGTCTAGTGAACTTTGATTGACCTAATCCTTTGCTTACTCATTTATGTTTGCTTTTTGTTACTGATACTGCAGGGGTAGCACTGCACAGGCATCAATGCATGCAATCTCTATTCCGTCTAGTAGAGAGTTTTTACTCTATTTATCTTGAAGACCAAAAAGTTTAAGGATGGGCAAGTATGAGACTTATTGTTGGGGAGGAGGAAGGATATCAAAGTCCAATATACAGTATGCAACTACTCTAAAAGTAGAGATCCACTTTAAATCTGCATATGGAAACTCTTCATTAGCAAAAGATCCATCCACAGAAAGATCTCTTTCCCTATCATTATGAACACTAGTGTCCTTTAAGCAGTATTTCAGGGCAACAATATGATATTAAATACAAAAATATATTTTTTTTGGTACATTTTATTATTTTTTTTTGTGTTTTTATAACTTAGATACATAGAGATGTATTTCAAAGTTAACACTGTAAGTATAAAGTCCTAACATTGTGCAATTGCATAATACAATACCTCCTAGACAACAAAAACCTTATATTAACATAAAACCTAAACAAAGTTATCAACATGTTTAATATAATTCATAACATACATTAACAGAATGTGCTTCATGTTCTTAATGGGTTGTATTTTACTAGCAAAATAAAAACCTAAACTCTAGAATATTGAAAGAAATATTGCAATGATGTAGAGCAAAGATTCCTATGTTTGTCCCATAGATATTTCAAATGTTATATGATGCCAGCTATAAAACAAGTTCATATTGCATAAAAACAAAAAGAGTTATCCAATT